TTAGCGATGTGGGAACAGCACCAGGCCGTCATAGAATCTGGTCCATCACAGTCTATAGGACGAGCCCGAGGTTTTGGGGATGGACAGCGTATCTGAGCTCCAGGCTGTGTTGATCAGGCCCTAGTGTTGATCGCTACAACAGGAATGATGTAAATTAGGTCTATCTAACAAAAGCGCGCCATATGATCCGCCCCAAATATCATTATACATTCAGAATTACCTACCGCCGTTCTGGGCTACTAGGATAGTTGTATGAAGTCTGGACGGTCTATTCGGAGCGGAAACAAAGCAAGTCGCAGGAGAGGTTGCTTCGCTATGGAGACGGATTCGAGGACTGGCTTTGATGCGGCGTTAGATATCGACAGACTGATCCGAAGCACATACGTCAAACGGATATCGTGAGAGTGCCAGATAGCTTCACATGATATATTTAGAATGTCTTTGCTGCCCTTGATTCTCGGCCTGATTTAAGCTATCCTAAATTTGTGTCCGCAAGAAACGCAAGAACTTCACCAAAGGACTCCGCCCTGTCAGACCCTCGTCACATGCATTGCTTTCAACATGTTGGAAAAGCCCGCTCATGGCTGCGAATAGAGTGTCACATGTCGGGCATTTAAAGTCGTAATCATCATCGTAACAAGTGTAGTGTTCCGACTGATAACACTTGAAGGCGAGAGAGGTAACGTCTCCATCGTTTACGCCAGACTCACAATAGCCGGTCTCGAGGTGTAGAAGCATCGCGGAGGAAGAGCTGAACTTCTTCGGACATCCGAAGCAGATTAGGTTCTTTGCTTCATAAGATTGGCGGTGCTGATCAGTTAGGCCTGCTGATATATGATAAAGTGGTGTACAATACACTAACATTCTTGAGATTTGTCGGATTTTCGAAGTATCTCCTGCATATATCGCACATATTGTGCAGAGAAATATCATACTGTGTGAGCTGACTGGCAGAATTGAAGGAACGCTGACACTCGATACAGCAGTGATGAATCGTCTCAAGATGATCGTCCAGATGATCGTCAGTGTCAAAGTCTAATTCCTGAGGGCACTCGGGACAGATATGATGCCTTGATGACGCAAGGACGTGCTGGCGCTTTGCCGACAAGGAGTCGAAGGATCGTTGACATCTCTGGCAATACGCATGACGAGTAGACATACGCTGGTGCTGTTCCAGGGCGACATCATTGTCAAAATATCGGTCGCACGGCTCACAATACTCCATCGTAAGACGAGCATTATATTCTATCGTCCACAATAGTCGTGACCAAGGAACAACTCACGTTCGTGGGTGTTGGAGGCGGGTTAACAGCGAGACCACGCTTTGGAGCTGCACGTGATGGAGAGTACATCCAGCGAATAGAAATAATTGTTGGTGCTTCAGAGTGAGACATGGCAAGGTTCCTGGAGGGGGCCCACGGAGTCTTGCGTTTGTAACAGGGCATGAGTACCGGGAAGAGCTACCGGACGAGTATCTTCTCATGCCATCCTATGGATCCGACTTCCGACTCCGCGAACCACTTCTTCCGAGATTCGAGTCCGCATCGGCGGACCACGTGGTTCAGCCGACGAAGACTGCGAGAAATCGAACACCGAATTGGAGATGCCGAAATGAAGTATGGGTATCTTGTAAGGAGACACTACATGTCCGATTGCACTCTCGAGCGCCCTGAGCTTCCCGAAGTACCCTCATCATTGAGAGATATAACCCATTATTTTCTCTCTTCCATCCCCACCTTCTTGACCCTGAGTTATGAGGTCTACCGTTCTGTAATGTGATTCACCATTGGTGGCAGCGTCGGATTCGCAAGCTTCACTATGTTCTCGTCTAACCAGATCTTGAACCAGTAAAGTGATTTGAGACTGTGCTATGTTAGAGAGGTTACGACGGGACCCACGGACGTGCTTACCTGGTGTCGCAAATAATGCCTCAGGTGGTCCTCGTTTGATACAACATCCTCCGAGCAAACCCTACACTCAATGGGATATCTTGCCATTCTGCGATGTCTCGAAGTACGTGTTTCGGGGACTTGGCACACGCAGCTTACATTCCATCATCCCGTTGCCCTCAGTGATACCCTGATTGTTTTGTCACATGCTGATATTTTCTTGCGCATCGAGTCCGTCGCAAGCCGATTTTCTCCTCCAAATCTTTCCAGGCGTGGTCGCCCTCCTTCGAAGCGGTATTGATTGGCACGCTGATACCAAATGCAACGCATATGGCGCGATTGGATTTCCAGGTTCAGCCTTTACCAAACCCCGCCCCGGATACAACTCGGCGCCGACGAGAGCGGCTCGCGCCGCACTTGGGCGGGAATTTTCGCTAAGGTCGTCGGGGCACTAGTAGAATTCAAACTGTGCTAGTTAAAGGTCAATTGACGGCCACTCGATGCGTGTGGGGAGGCACAGGGGCAGCATGACGGATGATGCAGGCTGTTCCCGTCTAAGGCCTCTGCATATCTATCCCCTGTTGGTTCACAAATACGGCGAATCGGAGAGCGCATACCTATCTTTAGGGTGTCATGAGACAAGTGAAATAGGGTGAGAATTGCCAAGGATTGTGATCTTGGAGCTACCACCCTTTTTCGTGTGAGTGGTGTGCCCTCGAACCAGCAAGGGGGGTTGATTCTGGCTGCGAGGTATCCGCGGCCGCCTACTGGGCAGCACAACTCCCAACTCCAGTCTGAAATATATGATTGACCAAACATTCGACTTGCAAGTGGACGATTTTCGAAACAGTTCCATCAAGGTTTGGTCGATCGATTTTCGCAAAGGCCCTTTTCTACCACCACTCTGTAAGTCCCCTTTAATTAAATGGGTTTCATGCTGACTGAAGGCTTCCAAGGAACATAACCGCACCAAGTCACCATGAGCGGACCACCTAACCCCATTCCACCGCGGTACCAAAACTGCTGGCATTGCAAGCAGCCGCAACACAGTTCCACTTATCAGTGTACAAACTGCAGCAGACGCCCTTTTCAAGCCTGTGATCAGGCTGGGTGCAGTTCTACCGCTCCTGCACACTGATTCAATGCTAGTGGTCGACAAGTCTGCCCCAAAATTTAAGTGGCCTAGTCTGTCCAATTGGCTCTAGCAGACTCAAATAGTGAGGGAGGATTGGCTGATGGGAGGCAATTTCAAGCAGTTACTTTTTTCAGATCCCATCTACCCAGCATTTGGAGTTTGCATGCTTGTCTGAGGGACACTATCCAATCACACCTAGCTTAGCAGAACATCATTCGGACCGTATCGTACTCAATCAGTGGCAAGCACTCTATGAGTCGAGGAGTTCTATAAGCCGTGTAACGTTCGGGATATCCTCGAACTGAGCGTCGAAATCTTGCCGAGAACGGTTTATAAACTGAAACTCAGGCGGGAAATAGCCTGCATTCTCCCAGTCATACACTCCTATAACCTCCAACGTCTCATACGCAAACATCATGTTGTGAGGACCAATGTCCCAGTTACATAATATATATTGATCGGTGTCGGACGTCTTCGAAGGCCAGGTCGGTCTGTTGTCGTGATACCGTACCCAAGGTGGTGGGACGACTTTGCCATCGAGTCCCATCGTTTTGGATCTTAGCTTCGCGAGCTCGGGAAGAACCACCTTCGTGATGTAAATTTCGGCGTTAGCCCACGCCTTTTCCTCGCATGTGGTGCATTCTCCAGCATCTACATGCTTCTCTCCGTCTGGCATCCGGCATTCTTCTCTAACTCGCGAGCCGGGAATGCCACTCCAAAGCTCCGTCTCGACGAATGCAAGTCCGTTCTCATCTGGACCGCTGTCCACGAGTTTAGGTATTTTGATCTTTGTTTGCGAGAGCAGTCTGAGTGCGGATGCTTCAATCTGAAACAGCTCCTTGACGAAGGGATCGATGATGTATTCTCCACGCTGGTTCTTCTGTCGCCTCTGGGGTGGGACCTCACGTTTGATGAAGGTTGTAGGCGTCCAGCTGTAAATTCTCAGCGCCGTGCTGTAGACTTCCGTTTCATCCGGCTTTGTTGGTTGGGCTGTGACTGCCATATTCATAGACGCCTGGGAAAGGCATAAATGGGGTTTTTTTTTGACGGATCAAATTCGGGCAGGTCCGTCGGTTCTTATAAGAACTTCCAAGTCTACCCCCACCAATACCCCGCATAACTTAGCCAGGGGAATTGTGACAAGCTGAAACATGGTCGGACCAGTGCTGATCCGGGTTTGTACAAAAACATTCGTATGCAGTCTTCGCGATGCATTTCGCAGAATGTTCAACTGCATTGTCCGATTTCGACGCTCTTGCGGTATAGCCGCCAATGGCCAACCTCCAGCATCCATTCTGTTAGCGCACTTGCCTGCTTGAGAGGCTCCCTGCTCAGTACATTCGCACTCACGAGGCTTGGCTCTGTGCTCATATTTGATGCAATAAGAGGAATGTGCTCATTAACCTTGTTACTTATTTTTTTATTTTTTAGCATCTTTTTTTTTACCACTATTGCACGGACATTAAATGTCCTACTACGATGTTTGTCTCTACCTTATGGAGACATTATCGCCTCAGGCATAACACATTTCAAGGTCGAGCCCGACATAGACTGAGGAGCTACAGACGCCTTGCACCGTGCGAGGACGACACTGCCTCCAGCGAGTTCCCTTGCTCGAGTCAGGTCACCCAATTTTCACCCTGCGCGAAGGTAAGGGAGAGAGAGGGCCAGCCAGCGTAGTGTCCTCTTGCTTGGGCCATCAGGGTAGCGAGAGTGTGATTTTAATCAGCAAGCCCTTCACGACTTGGCGCCCGGCTGTGGGCGTTATGGTCACGATTAAACGCCCTTTCGATTAGTTGTACTTTTTCCCTTCAGTCCCTTAGGATGGATGGTGGTGCCGCTAGGCATCACGAAGGCCGGCCTTGACTTGATACAATCCTAAGTCCTCCCGTTCCCATAGCTTATCCAGTGGGAGACCCTGTCGCTATGACCTGTTAACCCGTAGAATTAGAGACTGGTAATAGGATGTGAAGTGATCAGTGACTGTCTTCAACCTCTTTTGCCATGATGCCTAGCTTCATCTCGGCTAGCTCCTCCGTATCCACATAATTTCCAATTGTCACGTCTAGGAATGACTCGCCCCTAGCCTCGCCCATCATAATGAACGCATACTTAAAACAGCACCCAGAATAATGATTAAGGATCGTGCATGAAAGAGTGTTGCTCGTCGAGATACGCCCCGATTGACATGAAAGACCTCACGCCAGCCTTTCCCTTCGCTCTCGATATACTTTGCTAACTCGTTGATAGCAAGTAGAGATCAATTAGAGATGAAACGTATGAGGGGTTGTCTTCTGTGAAGGCCGCTAGCTTCGCTAATTCTATCGCATCTTTTTCTTGAGAAGTATAGGGAGAAGACACCGATATATAGGCGAGAGTGAGGTCAAATGAGATCAACAGCTTATATTGTTTTCGATCTTACGGCAACCACGAGCTGGTCCTAAGCAGAGAAGCCAGAGGAAAGTTCTATGGCAACGAAACAAAACACGCCGCGGCTGCAGCTCCGCCTCCTACCCCCTTTTAACGGTAAAAAAGGGAACGGAGAGTCAATTTTCGCTTCTTATTTATGGTCCCTTGTGCCGTACTTTTTCTCTTGACTGATCTCTTAGTCTTCCTAGCCTTCGTTCCCGCCTTCTTGCCCTTCTTTTTCTTGACCACCTGTTTCTTGACCACCTGTTTCTTGACCACCTGTTTCTTGACCACCTGTTTCTTGACCACCTGTTTCTTGACCATCTGTTTATTGACCACTGGCTTAAACGCCTGCTTCTTGACCACCTTCATGGTCACTTTGTTCTTCACTTTGACCTTGGCATTGTTATTCGCCTTCGATTTGATTCTCGATTCTATTGTCTTTTCGGACTCGCTATATATTTTCTTGGTTACCTTCTGGCTAGAAAGTTCTTGCTTCATGTCGTTTGGCAATCGACATATCGTCTTGGCAAACTTAGCTGGAGAGTTGGGCTACTAGCAATCTAGCACTCACCTCCGTAGCTCTACAAGCATCAAATATCTCGTTATCACCTTGATTCCTACTGATCGGCCGCCAGAATCGTGCTTTTGGTTCCAATACTCCAAATTTCGTAACCCATAATGAGGTTTCATCGGTTGGCCACAATTGATAGCTAAAGTCCTCGGCTCCTGGAACAGTCGGATGCACCACGTCAATGCGTGAAACTGCGCGATTGCCGAGGACGCCTCGGAGGATAGGTTCCTCAATCGCCTGATAGTTTGTGTGCCCAGATGGATGGAATCGATGAGGTGGTGGCGGCAACAACACTGTGATCATCTCCCCCTGGGTTATGTGCCACGCGAAGACAGCGGAGGCACCTTTGATATATTTGCTCCATGCCTTTGCCGACTTTCTCGACTTGACACAGGCTGGATCACTCGCATCCATCAAAGGCCCCATGGCTGCGGTTAATGTCTGCTTTTCATGCTTTTCTGCCCACCGCTGCGCGTGATCGTGTGGTATACCGCTCCACAGGACTTGACTATTTGAATTCCATGTACCGCTCTGGAACTGGAGACAGATATCTTTCAATTCCGGGATTGATAGATGGCTGATAAGAAATGAAGTAATAACCTGTGGTACGTTATCGGAGACCCCGGTGGTATCCGATTTTGACATCTTAAAGAGAGTATCGCTCATCTATATCTAAGGGTGAGGTCGAGCAAGATCTGAGGCAGGAATTCGTTGTGTGATGCGATCAATACGACTATATGGCCCGTTTCCCACATCAATGACGTTTATTCCAATAGACCTTACCCATTTCGTGCGGCATGAAGTCAGACTCTGGTATACAGACCGCTAGACCAAACCTTAATCCCAAGCCCCCCATATACTCGCGAAGACCAGACACATTCCGAATGCGCTTCTCGACAATTTCTTCGATATCATTCTCGATTGCGATCCTGGAGTAAAATCCTATTGCCCGCTATTTCTCATCCTTAGGCCAACCAGGTATGGGGATCTGTCTCGATTCTTAGCTCAAGTTTAGTCTTAGGTAAATATATCTTGCCTTGATGGTATGCTCATGGATGTTTACAAAACCGGCCTCCTCGAGCGACTTGCGCTGTACTGCATCGCGAACCACAGTGAAAGAGGCCGTCGAGCCCAACTCCCTTGCACGTTCACGAAAAATGAAACCTAAATGGGGCTGCAGGCTTGACATTGACAGTGTCGTCCAACTGAAAGAGCCCAGCGAGGGCTTACCTCTAAAGACAAAAAAATCTAGATATACGTGAATATCTCGAACGAACTTTGAAGGCATAAATCTACAAGCCGAGAGAGCGTCGCGTGAATATGCACTTTTGAGATCCAATGGGCAGCAGCTACGACGATCGTATCACTGATAGCTTGAGGGGAGTGGTTTTCAGTCGCGCACAATAATACACTAGGGAGCCATTTATTTCGGCTTGTGTCATACTTTCCACATTTAAGATTTCTGATCTTAACTGTGTGGACTTATACAGTACTACGGCCGAACTCCATAAAATATACTAGCTATAAATACTAGCTTGCGACTTGATCACGCCCCCAGGAACGGCACATTCGTTTCCTACGAAACCAAAGAGAACTCTAGATATTACAACTAATTCATACGCATAGAGTTTGAGAGTCTTGCATGAAAGAGCCAGGCCCGTTTTGTTGATGTAGAGCCTGCCGATACGCGTCGATTAGCATCCGATCGCGTTGTTCTGCGCTCGACGTGATCTTAAACCTGTCATGATTGGCCATGCCCCAACAAGGCCGAGCCCCATCAGCTACATGCCCTTCCTGGTCTTTCCTGAGCAGTCTTTCTATCTCGCTACCATGAAGGCCGCCAGGAATCCCGATGCCCTCCGCTGAGATTTCAGAGAGGATGTTTTGCAGGATGGTAGATGAACAGTTGAGTACAATCGACTGTTCACTCACTAAGAGCGGATAGCCGCGTGTGTATGAAGCGTGCAGGAGGGGCAGCCAGGAGCTAGTCAGACGCAGAAGAAATGTAGCGACAGTCAATAGAGCCCGAGTAGTTACTGGGAATACGGCTGGGCCTTTCGAGAGCGATGGGGAAGTGAGAGAACCACCTCAGATTCTCCAACGTGATGTTCTCGTTACTGCCCAAGATAGATCCCACTATTTCGAATCCACGGTCGGCAGAGCTCGGAGAGCACGCGACATATTTATAGACATACCTCCTTCTGTGAGACCATAAGCAAAACAAGTGGTGGAGCGCGAGATAAACCCCGTCTTCTTTGATACACGCCTCTCGTGCTAGTGTAAACCGTCTGTTCTCGAGGCCAGATAGACGTTGCCACCCACTACTCTCGTTTCGTCTCTCGAGGTGTGACATAAGTGGGGCATAGGAGATGGGTACGAGTGATGAGCTATGATCCAGATCAGCTGATGGAAATGAACATGACAGGAATAACATCGAACATACGGTCGCTCTCCTCTTCGTGCAAGACTGATGGCATATGATGACAGCCCAATTGGCTTGTCATCGGTTGTGGCGACAGATCGGCTGTACGGAGCAGGTCTGATGTCGACGAATCGGGGCACGTCGCTGTTCCTGGAGTTGGCACCGTCCGATAACCCTGCGTCTTGTGTGACCCGATGCACAGAAGATGCAGAATAGTCATCCCCGACTGTGGAAGGGTGTCGAGGTCATGGGTGCCGGCTCGCCACTTCTCAGTAACATCAGTATACTGTAAAGTTTGTTTGTTCAGATAGAAACCCTGGTATTGGGGAAGACTGACACGATTTTCGTCTGAGATGGAGAAGGCGCCTGCTGGGGCGGCAGCGGTGGTGGAGCCATGACAACCCTTGTACTGTTCGTAGAGGTGAAGCTATGCTCGATTGGTTGAGATGTCTGTTGCTGCTGCCAGCCAGCTGGTTATAGCTGCTCCGGTGTCTTCGCGACTGACGGCGCTTCAAGTGACTCGCCTGCCGCATTGTGCGCCGAGGCACATGATTGCTTACCAAACCCGGTCTCTTCGGGGCGCAAGATCATCAATGCGGGACCAGGCGATGCCGGCGATACGGTATCTGCGGCAAGCCGACCCGAATCAGGTATCAGCGACTGTATCGAAACCGAAACGATCAAATTTGCCTCAGAACGCGGCATGGTTTGAAGCATTGATGGGTTAGCCGCGGATGGCTCCGTAGGTGCCCCAGCAGATACGAAAGACGTCAGATTCCGCGTGTCTTTTGGAAAATAAGACTGTTTCCCGGGCCTCGTCAGGTGGGGATGAGCCGGCTCAGCAGGCGGCAAATTCTGGCCTCGTGAAGACTCGTCTGAGGCTAGGGCGCAAGTCTGAGGCTCAGGCGATATGCGAATAGTATGCGGTACTTCTCCGGTGGTCAGCTCCGCGTTTGTTGGGAGATTCGACGGGGAATTCGCCTGCTCTCGTGAGACCATGCTTGGGATCAGTTGTTGGGCGGTATTGTTTGGTTGTCTGTCTGCAGCGGATAAGGCTGTTGCGGTTGTCACAGCATCTTGTACCAAATGAATCAGGGACTCGTAGCGAGGCCATGTCGCGACGATGTTGTTCTGACTCTGTTGCAGATCATTGGCTATTCCCTCCACATGACCAGAGATTACCGAAGGTGGTGTACTTCGTCCTATAGCACAGGTAACTCCCGCGTTGGTCTGAAGTCTAGAACTGTCAGACCTATGAGAGGGCGGCGGTAGGTCATCGTCAGAAGTCAAAGTTGGCGACTGTGGTAGGTCTCCCTCAGCAGCGATACCCGTTTCCGGGCCAGTCCCCGGTTTGTCCTGACCGAAATCACCATGTCGTATAGGGAGTGTCTCGCCTCGAATATCTCCAAGCTGGCTGTTGTGACAGAGATCGACATTGCTGCTATCCGATCCATTTGGCCCTCGCGTGCTCGTACCATCATCATCTTGCAGAGTCTTTAGGGCCGATGTGCCCATCGGGCATGAGAGATTTGTCCAGAGCCACACCTGTGCGCCTTCTCTGGGGAGGCCCGACTCATTCTCGATGTCTCACTTTCTCTGTTGACAAATGTTAGTATAGTTGAGATAGGGGGCCGAAGGGGATACTAGCCTTTGTCGTGGCGCATAGCTGCCTGTCTGGACCTACCTATTCCGGTTCAGTCAGTCATAAATATAGCCCGCTAGTAATCACAACGTCAGCAAAACACTACGGCAGTCTGTGTTCTCGCGTTGAACGGCGAGTTTCACGGTTAGGTAGCGGCGGCGTATGAGTCGCGTCGTCGGATCGATCGTGTACGGAGCTGACTTTGGTGACATCGCTCTTCGTATCTTCTATCAGAGTTGTTTCCTCTGGTGGCGTCTACCTTGGACATTTGGGTGAGTACATTGAAGGCTGAGGCGTATATTTTATCATCTAAGGAGGGTAGGTTATTACCACGTACAGGCTTCGCAAGACTGCGCCCAAAAATGGCTTCCACTTTGCGCCGCTGTTCCTTGACGGCTTCAACTTCGTTCCGCAACTGTACAATCCTGTCACGGTTTGTCTTATTCTCTCGCTGAAGGAACTTGATCTTCTCCTCATTCTCGCTGATTAGCTCCTGCAGAGCCGGCGCTTCTCGATTGTAGGTAGTCTGCGCATTCTGTTCACTAGCGTATAGACCGGAGAGTAGGCCTTCCACTTCGTGCTGCAAGCGTCTGACTTCAACATCAACATTCTCGATATCAATCGTAGGCATCCCACAGGGTGGCTTATTTGCACTCTCTTATCTTATCCGACATGTATGACCAACATGAAGAAGAGTAGGAAGGAGGATGCCCATCGACAAAGAAATGGCCTGCCATCGGAATGGAAAGGGCGAAGCGGGGTTGTGAAGAGCTAAGCGCCCATCGAGGGCACGGATGTCAACAGTTATCCCGAACGAATTGGACATGTCGGCTACGTGAAAGAAGCCAGGCAGAGCCGATAGCTGCAACTGGGCTGGCTACGGAGTTCTGTGAGGCAATAGTGGTGTCAAGCAGTCTTCTTTTACATGGCAGGCCTGCTAGCTGTACATTTACTACCGTCTTGAAGGACAAAGTTGTGCCCGGCGCTGCAGGTCAATCAAAAAATCAATGAGGTCCACTGGCCACGCGATGCGACAGTAAGGGCAGCGACTATGA